AAAAAAAAAATTCAAAAGTGGGCAAAGTTGGGAGATAATACTCAAGGTGCCATCTACAAACCCACAGGAAACATTAGATTCACTTAACTGGATGAATAATTCTGTTTGTGTATTTCAGAAGCCAAGGACATTTGTAGAGTTCCCAGCTTTAGCTCAGTAGTGGCCCAGAGTAGGCACTTGGGTCTAAATCCCTTCTTTCACTATGTCTTTGGGAGTGGATTTGTGTGCTTTATTTTCCTTTCCCAATCTTCAATATTCTCATCTGTTTAAAAGACATAATAAATTATCTAAAAGTTTAATTGGTAATGACATAATATATGTAAAATAGTACACTGAGTTTGAAATACATGGCATTTTCATTTTCTACCAAAGGGGGAAAAATAATCTGATGTTAAGGAATGGTAAAACCAAGCCTAATACTAACGCTCTTTAAAACCATATTTTATCAATATAGCCTCACTCAAGTGAGATGCATAGGAAGTGAAATCACATGAAGGCAGAATTCCCTTCCAATCACCCTTCATAAATAGAAAACACACCACCAACAGGATGAGTGGCTGGATGGAGCAGAGCTTCGTGATGCTGATGCTAAGTGCTGATGCTCAACATCACAAGAGGAAACTTCTATTCAGAATTCCATGTTTAAAACATAAGAACCAAATAAGGATCTCACAGCAATACCACAGAGATTGGGGCCAGATATTCTGTTCCTCCATTTTCTTTTTATTGGGTGAGAGAGGAGAGAGAGAGAGGAAGTGCAAGACAATATAAAGCAGTCTACAGTACTATTTGGGCCTTTTAACCGGCATGAAAAATCCAAATATACAATAGAGGAATGGGGTTAAAAGGCATAAGAGTTGTTTATTCTAACAAATACATATTAATGATTACCAGCTGAGAAAGAAAAATGGGAACATTCTTATTCCACCCCCACAGTCACAAAGAATAATATATGAAATGGTATGAAATGATTCCACCTTGTTTGTGAAGCAAATTGTTCCCTTTGAACCCTTCCTCATGACAACCAGTCCCTGTAGGGTCTGAATACCAGCAACATTTTGCCAGCTCTCTGATCCTTTTTGACTTCACACAGTATTTTTAAAGAAAAACAGAATGGATCTTGGTTTCAGAATAACAAGTTTGCACATCTATGAGTTCCGCCTTTTTACCCAGTTGTTTAGAAGGCTTCAGCTGATTCTGAATGTTCCAGGAGTCGTGATTGTTATTAAATGCATGGTTGAAAAGTGTAAAGCAATCGTGCATGCTGAAAACTAAACCACTAAGAAAATTAGAGGACTGTTTACATGTAACATCATGGCTCTTGACATTTAAAATGGAAGAAAACTTCAAAATCCTGCCAATATTTAGTTTTTCTGGACCAATTTTGAGTAGCTTTTAACAAATGTTAGTTACTTAATCTATACCCTTTTCTTTACACAAAATTAAAAGAGGATCTGTTCATCTCCTCAAGGGAAAAAAATATCCCTTGAATCTAGAAATAACAAGTTTTCTTCTAATATTTTCAGTAAGAATTGTACTAACATGGGACTTTTTGACATTTTGCCTCTTTATTATGTTGTCTTGTATCACAAGAAAACTATATATGCAGTTATGTTCTTGTACTTACTAGTATAGAGATAGTTTGTAACTAAGAGTGAAAGGAATAATGTAAATCAGCTCCTAGATATTACTCATTAGTGTATAATAAGAGTCATTATATCATCTATCCATTGTCTTATTAAATCTATTTTTCACTGAATTTTAGTAGTATTAACCATATACTTATTTGTGATCATTAGGAAAAACCTTATGCTTAGCTATTTGTTTTATTTGAAATTTGGTTAAATACCTATGGCGCTTTATTGCAAGTGGGAAATATTTCACAGGTCCTTAAATTTTCATCAGCACTAGAAGATTAAAACCTCTCTCCCTTGAAAATTCATTATTAAGAAAGGTGCATTGTAATTCCTACTCAAAACATAAAAATGAATCTGCTCTTTTTATACTTTCAAATGACAAATAAACTAATATAATGTGGATTTTACAAAGGAGTTATTTCCTTTGAATTGCAATGATGACAGAGAATACAAAGTCGATCTAACAAAAATATCATACAGCTCATTTCTGTCTCTCACAATAGAAAACAAACATAATTCGGCTGTATATTTCTGAAGAATCCAGAATCAGAGCAAGACTATTCATGTGCATGGAGCATTTTAAGCTTCTTACAGAGTTTCACAATGGAGGTAGAAGGAGTGGGAAGAGTGGGGCAATACTTAATTGTGCAAGGTATTTGGAACACTAAAGCACATTTGGCATTCTGATACCATTTACTGTTTGCAAATAGTGCCTCCAGACTCTTACAAAACAATTTGCCTTCTCCCCATCCACACATTGCCAGACATTCCAAGGAATTATTGTAAACTTATCCTGTATTTTATCAGTGCACTTGAAAGTAGCCTTTCTGAATACACACATAGTTTGAGTTCTGATCATAATTATGCAAGTAAGTTGCTGAATGTGTTTACCATCTGCGCCTTTGTTTGCCAATATATAAATATATACTATTGGTACAGTCCCCTATTCTATTTTCACAGATTTAAAGTTTTAAAAGTTTATATGATTTTCAGAAATACATTCCTATGTATAAACTCCATAGTTCATCAATAAGATGAAATTTGGGAATAGATAATCAATAACATCAGTAATAATCGGTTACTTATTGTGATGGTTAATCTGGATGGTCAAGTTTATTGGATTATGAGAAAAAGCAATCATTAAATTCATTTGGAAAAATAAGACACCCAGAATAGCCAAAGTAATCCTTAGTAAGAAGAGTGAAGCAGGAGGCGTCACAATACCAGACCTTTAACTATACTACAGAGACATACATAGTAACAAAAACAGCATGACAATGGCATCAGAACAGACACGTACATCAATGGTTCAGAATACAAGACACAGAGACAAACCCACATAAATACAGTTATCTCATACAGACAAAGGCACAAAGCATTCACTGGAAAGAAGATAACCTATTCAACAAATGATTCTGGGAAAATTGGAAAGCCACATGTAACAAAATGAAATTAAACCCCTATCTCTCACCCTGCACAAAACTCAAAGTGGATCAAAGGCTTAGGCACTAGAACAGAGAGCGTGAGCCTAATAGAAAAAACGTACCAAATCTTCACCATGTCAGCCTAGGATCTGACTTCCTTAATAAGGCTCCTAAAACACAAGAAGTACAATCAAGAAACAATAAATGGGATGTATTCAAACTTAAAAAGCTTCTTATCAGCAAAGGAACAATAATAACATGAAGAAAGAACCTAGAGAATTGGAGAAAATCTTTATCACATTCACCTCAGATACAGCATTAATCTCCAGGATATATAAAAAACACAAAAATCTTAACACCAAAAAAAAAAATAATCCAATCAATAAATGGGCTAAGGAAGTAAACAGACACTTATCAGAAGAAGAAATGCAATCCATCAACAAATATACGAAAAAAATGTGCATCATTTGTAGCAATTAGAGAAAAGCAAATTCAAACTACTCTAAGATTTCATCTCACCACAGAATGGTAATTATCAAGAATACAAGCAGGAATGAATGTTGGTGAGGATGTGGGGGGAAAGATACACACATACATTGCTGGTGGGAATGCAAATTGGCACAACCATTATGGAAAACGGTATGAGGAGTCCTCAGAAAACTTGGAATGGAACCATCATTTGACCCACTCCTCAGTTTATACCCAATGGACTTAAAATCAGCATATTACAGTAACACCGCCACATCAATGATTATAGCAGCTCAATTAAAGGTAACTATAGAATGGATAAAGAAATGTGATATATGTACACACAAACACACACACACACACACACACACTGGAATATTTCTCAACCTTAAAGAAGAATGAAATTATGGCATTTGCCAGTAAATGGATGGAGTTGGAGAATAACATGCTAAGCGAAATAAGCGATTCCAAAATACTAAAGGCCAAATGTTTTCTCTGATACTTGGATGGTAATTAACAATAGGTATGGGGCTAAGGAAGAATACAATTACTTTAGATTAGGTAGAGGGGAGGGGGATGGGGTAGGAAGGATAACAGAATGAATCAGACATTACTACCCTGTGTACACATATAACTGTATGACCAGTGGGATTCTACACCATGTACAACCAGGAGAATGAGAAATTATGCTCCATCTATGTATGATGTGTCAAAGTGCATTCTACTGTCATGTATAACTAATTAGAGCAAATTTAAAAAGAAAAATGAATTGCCTGCCTAAGATTGAGAAATTTCTAGGCATCAGTGTTTCCAGGATAAGGGACAGCAAACGGAGGGAGAAGACCTGTCTTGAATGTGAGTGGCACAGTATAATAAGCTGGGGACCCGAACAGAAGAAAAGGGAAAGAATGAAGAAACCAGTGAGAAAGAAAGCACCGTTCCTTTTTAGTGGGTGGCTTCCACTGCTGCTGAGATCACCTGAGGACACAGGACTCCAGCTTTTCCAGTCTTCATGCAGACTCTGACCAGTGACTCTTCAGAGAGGTTCCAGGCCTCTGTCCCAGACTAGGGCTATACCATTAATTATTCCTGCTCCTCCTCCTTCTTGTCCTTCTCCTTCTTCTTTTTCCTCTTCCTCTTCTTCCTCTCTCTCTCTCTCTCTCTCTCTCTCATAAATATGAGAACACTATATATATATATTTGCTGTTGTTGTTGTTGGCTCTTTTCCTCTAGATAATCCTATTATAGGAATAGGTTCTGGAGGAATAGGATTCTTCCTGAAGATTTAGAACTTCTGAAAAAGTATCACCCTTAACCTGTGTTCCTTGCTGTCCTTAGAAACTTGGAATTTCTGACCTGTTACCAAAGTCAAGTGTGCTTCATCATTTTCAACTCTATATCGTTCTCCTATTCATCGACCAGACAGAATCCTAGAAGCACAGCCCTGTAAGAGTAGGAGACAGATGCTAAGTGAAGTAAGCCAATCCGTAAAACCCAAAAGCTGAGTGTTTTCTCTGATATGAGGATGCAGATTCATAAGGGGTGGAGGGGGAATAGACAACCTTTAGATAGGGCAAAGAGGAGGGAGAGGAAGGGAGGAGGTAGGGGCATTGGAAAGACCATGGAATGAGATGGATACCATTACTCCAAGTACATGTGTACTATGTTTTCTATATGTGTACTATGAATTGAAGTACATTCTGCTGCCATATATAACAAGTTATAATAAATCTTTAAAAAGAATTTTTTAAAAAAGAAACTAAAATTTCAAATCATAATTTTGTTACTCTAGAGTGACAATGTAGTACAGAAAGATTTTGTCACTCTACGGTGACAAAATTTTTACGAAATTTTTTTCACATAATTTTTAATCACTCTCTAGTGATAACTGATGCTAGAATATTAGTATATAATCCAAATATTTTCTTTTTCTATCTTTCTATGCATAAACACAGACACATAACTTTTTAAAATTAAAAAATGGGATCATAAAAAAAGAGTAAGAGACAGCAAGATCTCCTTTAAAATGGAGACGTCTTCACAAACAAATTGAAATAGGAAGAGATGCAAATAAATTAAAATATTAAATAATATGCAGGGAAGAAAATTGAGATTGGACAATCATAACAAAGTGCAATATCCAGAAAAGCAATTTAGGAAGCAAATTAGGAAGGAAGATTTGGAAAGGACTGGAGATTCTACCACACCTTCTAGTTGGGATCATCCAGAAACTGCTTTGAGCTTGACACAGGTGAATTCTGGAATCATCCCTCTTAGAGAGGGGTGGAAGTGACTCTACACAAAGACAGTGTTCCTTGATGTTCTGTTAAAATATTATTTACAACAGAACCAAGTGAGTGGGAGTTCCAATTGGAAATATATATGATGGGGCCTCAGCTTCTGAAGATGTGCTCCAAGGCTAATATCTCAACAAGCAATTCAGGAGAGATTCTTTTGTACTAGGGTCTGAAAAGAACTGCACTGTGATTTTGAATTTATAAACTATTTGTAACTTACTCAGACTTATGATTTTTGTTTTCTTTCCATCTCATACTTTGTTTCATGATAATTAGCGTAAAAATAAGCTATATGCTTGTTTTTGTGTGTAGAGAATATTTTCTATCACCTTATTCATCCAGTACCCCTCCTCACCTTCTTCAGTTCTAGAGCTCTAACCCAGAACCTTCTGCATTCTAGGCAGGTACTTTACCAAAGAGTTACACCCTCAGCCCCCGATTGCTAGTCTTAATGGGAAAAAGCCTCATAAAAATAAAACAGAGGACGGGCATTTTGAAAAAGGAAATGTCTAAATCTCACAAGAACCTATGAGAAGAATAGGAGGCGTAAGTGGAGCCAAGAAGTGAATCTGGGAACCTCCTAAGAGAACAAGCCAGCAGGTCAGTACCTTGTTTTAGTGCAGGATGAAATGAAGTAAAACCAAAAAATGCTAAGTAATCCTGTTCTCTCCCTTCTTTATATAGAGCTGGAATTCCATAGCTTCTCCGGGGAACTAAAGGCATAATAACTTCAGTTACTCTGTATCATTTGTAGTTTCCTGTAAGAATTGAATAGGGAATTGTAAGAATACCCTGTAAGAATTGAGTTTGGGAATGAGTAAGAAATTTTTGAAAAATATGTCAGATGTGGGCAACATGATGAATTGAAATTAGTATAGTTTTGCAATAGCTTTTTGGAAACATATGAAAAATTTCTCTAAGCCTCAAGCTTCATGATTGTAAAGTTAGAGGCTTGCTTAGAGAATATGTCCAGTTCTCTTGGCTATGTGACTTACTAACCAAGAGGGTTCAATTCATCACTCCCCTCCCTATAACCCCAAAGAGGCTCATGATGAATATGTTCCATTATCAAGGAAAATGTGGGGTCCACAGGACACATGAATAGGCTCCCCAGGGAATAAGAGATTATAGCAGAAAGAAGAAAACCAATAGAACTACTTGAGATCAATTTCTCTCCTCTTGTAGATGTCTCTTTCCTTGTTCTCTGGTGCTTTCCCCCATCTTGTTCTTCAATTCAGTGCAGCTGGCTTGGTAGACCAAATACCAATATGGCCCTTTTCTGAAGTGACTCTTTGACTGATCTGGGAAAGAAGCAAATGAAGCTCAAGTCAGCTTCACCCTTGGCTTTGAGCTAAAATTTCCTTCTTGTAATTCACCAGCTCACAACATAAGAACCATATTAGGATTTGAGGGTAATGCCCTTAACTATTGATTTAAAAAGTGTTTTCTCCTTGTGTCTCCACAATGCACATGCACATGGCAATCGGTTAAGAAGGGAGACCTAGTGGTTTTGGATTAATAAGAATATAATGACCATTTGTCACTTATGATTCAGAATTATACTACATTTAAAATTCAGTTAACAAAATAATGATATTCTCTTTAGATTATCTTGGAAACAATTATTGTATTTCAACCAGATGTTAGTGTAACTTTCACTTCCTCAAACAACTTGGCAGATAAGAGTCATTACTTTAGAATGAAATTATAACAGATCAGATAACTTTTGTTCTAATTTAGCATGCAAACAGAAAGGGTGTTGTACTCCAAATGAAAGTCAGGTGGAAATTTCAGGAATGATTTGCTGTGAGCATTTAGTATTACCCAGATGCTGCTAATGCCATCTAATTCTATATGCTTTTTTAATTTGTACTTTTCAAAAGGGGTAAGATAAATAAATTAAATGAATCTCAAAATTCTAAAATGTTTTTTTATTTTTGTTGATTTAAAAATTAAAATAAATTTGCAAAATTAAAATAATTGACTGTGAAATTTATATGTACATAATTTAAAAAATCTCAGCAACATATAGTGAAAAATCTACTTCAAAAATAAACAAATAAATAGGAATTAGAGTATAAGTGAGAGACAGAGTACTTGCCTTGCATGTGTGAGGACCTGGGTTTCATTCCCACTATCTCATACATAAACAAAACTCTTTAAGTAATCTAGAACAATAAAGTCTTCTGTTAAAACTAAAACCAAAAAAAAAAAAAAATTTATCAAAGTCAAGTATTTGTTTTACATTAAGCATTGCATTGTGTCAGCCAGGCACCATGGGGAACACCTATAATCTCAGCTATTTGGAAGGCTCAGGCAGGAGGAATCCAAGTTAAAGACCAGTTTGGGCAATTTAACAAGACCCTGTCCCAAAATAAAATAAAATAATGGGTTTAAATAAAGCACAGTGGTACAGCATCTGCCTAGCATGCATGAGCCCCTGAGTTAATTCCCCAGCACAGAAAAATAAATAAATAAAAGAAATGCATCATATCTGTCACTTCAGGAAAGGAAAAGTATTTTTCAAGGAATCAGAATGGACAAACAATTTAACTACCCCAGACCTTTCTATCCTTGCTTTTTGTTGCTGTTTGTTTGTTTATTTGTTTTGTTACTCCCAAATGCCTTAGTGTTGAAATAAATTCTTGCCCTTTGATGATGAACAGTGCAGAGAAGGAGAAAGAGAAATTCTTATTAAAAACCCAAATAAAATAAAACTTATCTACTTAAACTCAATTTATATGCAAGATAAGATAAATATAAAACCTGGGGCCATGACAACTGATTTTCAGAACAGTCTACAGGGTGACACAGAGATAATTACAATAACTACTTTGATAAAATAAGCACATGGTATAGAAATAACTTGAGGACATCAATTCATTGGTCTATATACAGAGCAAAGCTAGCAATTAGGGAGCTATGGAATAAATTTTTACTTAAGGAATAATTATTACTAATAGAGACAGTCTCCATCTTCAAAATAAAGATCTCTGTCATTATATTAAAATGTGACTAATTAAAAATAAGATAAAATAAAATGTGACTAATTTATAAAACTTTGATTTACAAATCTTTTTCCTGTATAATCTCTAGAAATTTATGACTATATCTATAAAAATAAAAATCGCTATTATTTTATGCAACCACCATGGAATCCAGCAATTGCACTGGGTTTCCCAGAGAAATAAGATTTACAGTTCCACAAAAACCTATAGGCAAATGTTCCTTGTAATTTTATTCAAAATAGCCCCAAATTGGAAATGTCAAAATGTTCTTCACTGGTAAATGGTTAAAAAAGAAAGAAAGAAAGAAAAAGAAAGAAAGAAAAGAAACCGGTGGTACAATCACACCAAGGAATGGTTCTCAGTAATTAAAATGAAAGAACTATTGAAACACTACAACAGGGATGACTCATCAGAGAAATATGCTGGGTGAAGAAAGCTAATTCCAAAGGGTGACACAAAGGTTAATGCTACATTTATGTAATGTTCTTGAGAATTGCAAAATTATAGAGTTGGCAAAGAAATTGGTGGTTTCTAGGGGTGCTGTAGTATGGATCCGGTGTGTCCCCCAAAGGCCCAGGTGTTACAGTGTCACAGGCTTGGTCTTCAGATTGATGCTTTCGGGAGGTGGTGGGAATCTTTAAGAGGTGGGACCTAGAGGAAGGACTTCCTATCATGGAGAGCGATGCCCTTGAAAGGGATTGTGGGAGCCCAGTCTCTTGTCTCTTCTTTCCCATCCTGGTCATGTGGTGTCTTTGCCTTACTACATGCTCCTGTCATTATGTGCCTCCCCTTTTGGGTCAAAGAGCAATGCATCCACCTAATCATAGACTAGAACCTCCAAAACTGTAAACCAAAATAATTATTTTCTCTTTATTAGGTATATGTTATTGTGACTGATGGGAAGGGGGCGAGGGCATGCTGCTATGAAAGGGCTACTGGAGGAATCCTTGTGGGGATGAGAATGTGCCCTATCTTATCTGTATTGGTTTCTACTTCCTGATCAATCTTGTGAGGTACGATAACTTTACAAAGTGTTATGACTGGGGGAAACTGGGTAAAGGGTACACAGAAGCCCTTTGTTTCACTTCTTGCAAATTCATGTGGATTTATAATCATTTCAAAATAAAAAAGTTTAATTCTAGTAAAGTATTCATAAAACCTTAAATAAATAAACTTATGAAAAATAGTATTTCCTAAGTGAATTCCCAAGGGATTAGATCATGAAGCGTGTCATCATTAAATCATATTGAATCAACTGTTAGATAAACAGGTGCATAGAATTATTGCATAATAAGTATTAATGCTAGATGATTTTCTGAGTATTTCTGTGGTGCCAGAGTAAAATGGAGAATTGTTATTATTCCTAAGTATTAACAGATATTTTAAATGAAAGCAAATTAAGGCCACATAGTTTTTTTCTAAATAGCTTTCTAATTCATAAATTGTTTCCTAAAATTGTTTTTGCTGAAATTCATGTTAAATAAATGTGGCTATACTGGATGTACCACCACATCAACAACTCTGTCCATGTGTGTGACATTGCAAATTTGATACTCAATTGAGAAGCTTCTCTTACCAATAAAAGTATCAAAAACATTCTTCTTTTCCATACTGTATGGCCCAGGACACTAATCAAGCACAGTAAAAGTTGGCATCTAAGAACAAATGGAACATAGGGACCAAGATATGAAGTCTTTCAGCCCCATAGACTTAATACAAGCCTCAGGACTTCACAAATGGAAAAAGAAAATAAAAGATTCTAAAGCAAAGGTTATACAATACAGAGAGGATCAGAGGAAAAAAATCTTCTGAGACAGGTCACTAGGAAAGTCACTTTTTAAGTGAACTGGATTATTACAGAAGAAGACATTGAACCTTAAGAAATTTGATTGAAGATAGTGACCTAGCAATGCGTCCACCTAATCATAGACTAGAACCATATTTCCCACATAAATATGAGGAAAATTTAATCACATAGGTTGAAAGCAAATCTAGATCAAACCAGAGCAAAGCATATCCTCTATCAAACCTAACAACTTTTTTTATCATTCCTTAATTAAGAGAAATTGAAAATTTATATGCAAATTTCCAGAATAGCATGTATAATTTTATGTAAATTATGCAGAAATTGTTCAATTTTAGAGTAATTGAATAGAATGTCTTCTTTCTAAAATTGAGATTTTTTTCCAGAGCTCAATTTCTTTATAATGTTCAAGAAAATGAAAAACAGTTCGGATACTGTTTGTGACTGGACATCTGCAGCACATGATCCCAAGTGGCAAATGCAATTAAGGTCCTTGTGCCCAAAAAGGACAGTGGAATGGAGGACAATTGCAACGGAACAGCAATCCCTATAGAAGGTTGCTTCGTAAGACCTACTGTCAACTCTTTTTTCCACTTGACACTACTAAGGTAGGAAAATATATTGATAAAAGTATTATCTTACTTTGAAGAAATATCTATTCTAAATTTCTTGGATGGAATATGTATAACCATTTTAAATTAAATTTTAAAATATAATCATGAAGTATCTTTGGAGTATTTTAGGAATCAGATCAAGTTCCCATGTAATGTCTTTCCTTAGATGCATTGTCATTGAGAATTATACTTCCAAAATGAAATACTTCCCATGTATCAAAGATACTTAGATTAATGGAGTCATAATTTCTGATGTGCCTATAGACTATAGTGATAAAGAAGACAAGTTGCACGTAAATTAGTATATAATGTGTAAACAATCACTTCAAAAAGATACTAAATTAGATCCGCTTATGAACCTGGTAGGAATAAAAACACAACATAATTCAGACACAGTGAGATGATACCCTCCGTCTTTCAAAATCAGCTTTATGAAAAGAATGGTCAGCTGGGTGCAGGGGCACACACTTCTAATCCCAGCAGCTCTGGAGGCTGGGGCAGGAGGATTGAGAATTCAAAGCCAGCCTCAGCAACTTATTGAGGCCCTAAACATCTCAGTGAGACCTTGTCTCAAAATAAAATATAAAAAGGGGCTTGGAATGTGGCTCAGTGGTTAAGTTCCCCTGAGTTCAATCCCTGGTACCCCCTGCCCCAAGAAAAGTCGAGTCAATCCTGCATTTCCAGAAAAAGAGCGGGAGTAAGCCTTAAGAATGGTCTAAAATTGAATCGAAATATTTAAAAGTCTCAATTGTTCTAATTGTAGCCTGTATTACAAAAAAAAAAAAGTGTGTTATGTGGTTAGCAAAATAGTTAATGTGAGATTAGACTAAAACATTAAGAAAAATCCAGAGAGAGCATTAGCATCAGATTCATAAGGGCACATTACTCTGTACTGACATAGCCTGATGGAGCTTTAGTTTTAGGAGGAAAATGAGAAATCTAAAGGACATTAAAAATGAAGGAGTCCAAAACACAGTGTGCATGGCAAAGGATCCAAAGAACTAGAGTGCTGCTCTAGGCAAAAGGTGATGAAGAGAGACCTTTCAGACTTCAAGTATCTGAATGTCTCTTACATAGAGCAAAGATTAGTTCATGTGGGGAAGTACTTATATCCAGTGTTTCCTGCTGAAAAAATAGGGTTGCTTGTTTGTTTTGGTAAGTTCTTAATTATTGTGGTATGTTAGTTTTCCATAACTATAACAAGTAGCTGAAACAAATTAAAAAGAGAAAAGGTTTGTTATGTTTCTGTTTTAGATGTTTCAGTCCATGATCTGTTGGCCCTGTTGCTTTTGGACCCATGGCAAAGCTTCCCATTATGGCAGGGAGTGGGTGGGGGAGCAAAACCACTCACCTTTTGGCCAACAACAACAACAACAACAACAAAAACAAACCAGAGGAATAGGAAGGGGTGGGAGTCCAACAATCAATCCCTTTCAAGGTCACTCCCCCAATGACATAACTTCCTCCTGCTAGGCCCCACCTCTTAAAGGTCCCACTACCGACCAGTAGAAGCACACTGGAGATTAAACCTTTACATATGGGCCTTTGGGAGACACTTGTGATATAAACCTCAACACATAATTTCAAGCAAAGTACAAATAATCAATTAAATAATATATTATACAATGTATTTAAATATTTGGTAAATAGTTACATTATAAGAAAGTGAAGAATGTAATCATGCTTAATAAATATTGTATAAATGCCTGGTAATTAACCCTTCAAGGGACTATATATTTATTCCTTGCATACTGTCTGTGCCACCAGAATATAATATTTATTAGAATGGGGCTTTGCCATCCTTACTCTCCAATGGATGCTGTATAGGAATTATGGGTTTGTTTGAGCCATCACAAGGCAGCAGATTGCTTTACTAAGAACTCATGGTGTGAATCCACTGGTTGTAGATCACTCAGATTAAAGCTGACACCCTCCCTTAGCTCACAGTGCTAGGTTAAAAAGCAGCCCATGGGAGGTAGCCCCACGCCCCCCCAAAACTTGATTTTTTCCATCTTTATCCTGTTTTCCTCAAGAAGCCTGCCACACTGAAACCTTTGATGTGTTCTCCCTTCAACAAAGATTTTGGGTCTTTTTCCCATTCCTACCAGGACTGGAAGATTCACCAGGCCCCAGTTTTGAAAACTATTTTCTGCCTCTTGTTTTTGTTTCTTATTATTTTCAGACTTTAAGTTTTCTAGCCGGTTCACAGCTCGAAGCAAGAATTAGCTCTCAGGGTGCTGGTAACCCTGACAACTCTCCACTGTACTCCTGTGGTTAGGAAATATTAGGCATTTAATGAATGCTCTTGAATGAATGATGGCATTTCATTTAGCCATAAAATAACACCATGAAGTAAAATATGTTAAACCCACTTCACAAATGTTATGAATTATATTTACTAAGGATTAATAAGTTGCCTAATTTTCCAACTAGAGCCAGCCTTGACTCCCAACCCTATGCTTTTACAGTACCTTTGAAATCTTGAAGGAAAAAAAGCAAAGGAAAAACATAGGTAAATAACAGTGGTGTATTTCTGAATAGAAGTTTCCTTGCTACTTCCCAGTGTCACTTGTTGCCATGGTTTCTTTTATGAGCACTCCCACCAATGACAACTTAGCTATCGACCTAGCTACTGAACTAAAAATAGGTGACATTTTCAAATAAATTAGAGCTAGATGGGTGATCTATTTATACCTTCTGTTACATTTCTCTAGTGCTCTCAATTTTGATGTGCCAAAATGAGAATTAAAATAAGTGCAAGATTATTCTCGGAAGTGTATATGTGCAGTTTTATTAACTCTGGCACGCAATGCAATATTGTGTGATTGATATGTAGGTTTGTATGTAGATTTAGCACATGCAAAACATTTAATACAGTATTACAGACTTCTAGTTTTGCAGGAAAAAGGTAAAAGCTTTTTATTTGTTTTGTTTTCACTCAATATACAGCTTTAATTTAGTGGTTAAGAACCTTCAAATCAAGTCGCATAATATAAAACCTTAATAAAATAGTAGGATATTTAAGGAAATAAAATGTAGGGTATGCATCTATGTTCTTAGAAATATATTTTAATTATCTAAAAACAAAAAGATATTTTAAGCCCAGTGAACATTAGATATAGAAGAAAACATAAAATCATGAACTTTAACTTTGCAAAATTATCATTTTACAATTGTGGAAAGATAAGGCCCAGGACTTTCAGTAATCTGAATTGCAGAACAAATGAATAGCAGATTGGATGATTTATTACATTAATTTACTAAAAAGAGAGAGAGAAAATTGGAATCAAAAGCTTCTCCTCAAAATACAATCTATGACAAATAAATATTTGGAAATAAACTTTTTACATTTAAGCCAACAAATAGACACCCATAGAAATAAAAATATAATTCCAGGGACTATGAGATATTTACATTTTCATACATTTAATATATTCAGATAATTGGCTTCTATATTTGATCTAATTCTATATTGAGAAAGATAGTTTCTATGTTAGTGGAAAATATATCTCTGTCACTCATGTGCTTGAGCTGAATGGCTCTCTTTCTCCCTGCACCCATAGCCTGTACAATCTCTCTCTCTCTCTCTCTCACACACATACACACACTCCCACAAACAGCTTATGCACAAGGACACATGATAAAAGAGGTGCAAAGGGGGGCATTATCAATTTTTTAATGACAAATGGGTGCATAGAGGTCTTTGATCTTTGCGTGCCATCCACATGATCAAGTAGTATTTAATATAGTTCAGGAAAATAAAGCAAATCAAAGTGAAGCATATTTAATTAGTGGTTTAACTATGTGATTAATGATGCCTTTTAAAGAAAAATGCCTGTACCAGTAAATGGAAAGCTCATTATTTCTAAAAGCTGTTTTCTTCTACTTAATGACTTCTTCTAATAGCCTGATAAATTGAGCAACAACGTATGAAACCTATTAGCCTAAACATTTTCACAGGGAACTAAATTTAATGTTGTGTTGCAGGTTGTTGATCAACTAATCTGAAAGTAATGAAACAACATCATATGAACCCTTCTGTTCAAATAGCACGAAGCTAGCTCTGAAACAACATACCCGGGAGACTCTTACTTATATAAGAAAATAACTTATGCTAAATTAAAAAGCACATAACAAAAGAGACTAACTTAACAATTGAAAAAAATCATTGGTTTGTATTAATATACTTTATTTATCTGGAGCCATTTATTTCCACCTTATTTGACGTGTCCAGACAATGTTTTTTTTTTTCTAGGACAGGAGGCCAAATTGATGTTGACATACCTGCTTAAAAATTCTACAGAATTCAAAAGCAAAGGCATCTTCTCATCCAGTGAAAAAAAAAATGACTCCATCAATTAAATGTAGTATCCAAATAATGGATCCCTGGCAGAATTCCTTGTGACTCTCAGCTTAGCAATTATACAGATGAATGTCCTCAGAGGTCGTATGAACTCTTGAGTCTCAGTTGACTCACCTGGAAATCGAACATCATAATTTTATTCATTTCAAAGTGTTCTGGTGAAGAGTGAGCTGATGCATGTAAAGCATTTCGCACGTATTAGGTGTTCATTTGCTTTTATTAATCATCATGACTATTGTACATTATTCCAATAAAATGTGCTGAGTATATTCTTCAACTAGTTGTTCACTACCACCTAATAGGGTTAGAAGACCAAGTATGGCTGTATGGCATTTGCCAGTAAATGGATGGATCTGGAGACTATTGTGCTAACTGAAAGAAGCCAATCCCCTCCCCCCCCAAAAAAAACAAAGGTCAAATGTTTTTGCTAATATGTGGAAGATAAGCCACATTAAGAGAGGGAGGGAAAGAAGAGAAGTTACATAAATTAGACAAAGGGGAATGAAGGGAAGAGAGTTGGGATAGGAAATACAGTAGAATAAATCTAACATAATTTTTCTATGTACATATATAAAAATACCTAAGTGAATCCCACCATTGAATCCACTCACAAGAATGAGATCCTAATTAGAAATAGCTATATTCTGTCCTTTTATATTTTTATCAAAATTGATTCTATTGTCATGTATAACTAAGGAGAACCAATTAAAAATTTTGGAAACAATATAGGGAAAAAAAGTTCAGGCATGGAATACTTGCTTCTTGGGGAACTTAGTCCCTTTTCCCTATATGATTTCTATAAATTCTCAAAAT